TGAGGTCTGCGCACCCACATCCATCACCTTAATCCTCACCTATGCGCAAGCTTCTTGCACCACCCCCACCCCCCCCACCCCCACCCCCACCCCCAAAAGTCCTGTGGCGATGTGGAATGGTGGCGGGCACAGACCAAGGATGTGGCTGGGAGTGCCTAACCAAACCATGCACACAGGCGGCAATGGAGTGATGGTCGCTAGGACTGCGGGATGGAGCAGCGCGTCTTTTCGGCAGCTTCCATTGCGACTGAGCAGCCCCACACTGCTCACCCCTGTGATGGGGAAGGACCTGGAAAAGGTGGTCCAAAAATTGTCTGCTCCCCACACTCCGGACGGTAAGCCGCAACCGTTGGAGCATCCCTCCTTGCGGTCGAAAAATTAAAGTGAAAAATAAGTTAAACATTGCTTCATGGAATGTTCGCACACTGCTGGACCTGGCTGAAACTCCTGACAGGCCCCATCGCAGGACAGCACTGGTGGCCCTGGAGCTCGCAAAATATAACATCGACATAGCAGCTCTCAGCGAGACCAGACTACATGGGGAGGACTCCCTTGCAGAGGTTGGTGCTGGGTACACCTTCTTCTGGAAGGGGGTCCCTAAAGGCACTCGCCGTAACCATGGAGTTGGCTTTGCTGTAAAGTCTAAACTGCTGCAGCGCATTCCGGAATCCCCCATCGGCATCAATGAAAGACTGATGACATGGCGCATTCCCCTGGCAAAGGAACGCTTCGCCACTCTCATCAGTGCATACGCTCCAACTCTTGATGCCGAACACAACATCAAAGAGGATTTCTACAGAGCTCTTGATGCCATCTTACAGAAAACCCCAGCTACGGACAGGCTCGTACTCATGGGAGATTTCAATGCTAGAGTGGGCACGGAGCACCTGTTATGGAATAAAGTCATTGGCCAGCATGGTGTGGGGAAAATGAACCACAACGGGCTCAGACTCCTCTCCTTCTGTGCAGAGCACCAGCTGGTCATTACTAACACCGTCTTCCAGATGAAGAACAGGCTTAAGACCACCTGGCAGCACCCCCGCTCAAAACACTGGCATCTTCTTGACTACGTGATTGTCCGTCAAAAGGACAGACAAGAGGTCCTTACCACCCGTGTTATGCGCGGTGCTGAGTGCTGGACTGACCACCTCATGGTCAGATCCAAACTATTCATGAGCATTCAACCCCGTTGCCCGAGGATGGCTCCAAACAAGAAACTCAACTGTACAGCGCTGAATAGCCTTACCACCAAAGATAACCTCCAACGGCTCCTTGCTGAAAACCTCAACAAGATCCCAGAGGAATCAACCGACTGGCCAGCACTGCGCCAGGCTATTCATAGCGCAGCCACAGAGGCGCTAGGCCAATCAAGGAAACACCACCAGGACTGGTTTGACTGTAACTCAGCTGAGATACAGTCACTCCTAAAAACCAAACATGAGGCCCACAAAGCTCTCCTGTCCTGCCCTGGATCTCCCACCCTTAAAACCTCCTTCATTGCTGCAAGAACAGCAACCCAGCGAGCCCTCAGGACTATGGAGGACACCTGGTGGGTGCAAAAGACGCAAGAAATCCAGAACCTGGCAGACTGCAACAACAGTCATGGCTTTTACGATGCCATAAAAGCATTGTACGGCCCCAGGAAGCGGGTGATTGCCCCAGTCCGATCAGCTGACAGCGCCATCCTCTTTAAGGACCGTCACGAGATTCTCGCCCGTTGGGCAAATCATTTTGACAGTCTCCTCAACCACGTCAACCCTGTCGACCCACATATTCTGGATAATCTCCCAGACCTGCCACCTACCATGCACCTGGACACCCCACCACTTTACTCAGAACTCCGGCAAGCTATTGCAGGGCTGAAGAACAACAAAAGCGCTGGACCCGATGGAATCCCTGCAGAGGTTTTTAAATACGGAGGATACCTCCTCACGCGTCGCCTGCACCTCCTGATCCAAAACATCTGGGAACATGGGACCCTCCCACAGGACTGGAAGGATGCTAACATCGTGGTAATTTACAAGCAGAAAGGAGACCGTGCAGTCTGCGGCAACAGCCGTGGGATATCTCTCCTCTCCATCGCAGGGAAAGTCCTGGCCAAGATCATGCTCAGCAGACTGGTTGATCATATCTCGGAAGCTGTGCTTCCGGAAACTCCGTGTGGCTTCCGGAAGACCAGATCCACGACAGACATGGTTTTTTTCTTGAGGCAGCTGATGGAGAAGAGCCGAGAACATCACAAAGACCTTTACGTTGCCTTCATCGACCTCAGCAAAGCTTTTGACACCATCAACCGTGAACTGCTCTGGAAACACCTCTCCAAACTTGGGGTACCACCCAAGTTTCTCCGCATCCTACAGCAACTGCATGATGGAATGCAAGCCAGAGTGCTCACTGGAGAACTCCAGTCAGAGTCCTTCGAGGTAAACGTTGGGGTGAAGCAAGGCTGTGTCTTGGCTCCGGTGCTCTTTAACATCTTCCTCTCTGCCATCACCTGCCTCTTCCACCGTGTCATGGGACATGAAGACGGTGTCCATTTGGAATACCGACTTGACGGAAGCCTCTTCAACATACGTCGGTTCCAGGCCCGCACAAAGACAAAGACCCGCCAAATCTGTGAGCTTCAGTATGCTGATGACTGTGCCGTCTTAGCTCACAGCCCAGACTCTATGCAGCACGCCCTTAACACAATATCCCGTCTGTACCAATTCTTTGGCCTACAGGCCAACATTAAAAAAAACGAGGTCATGTCCCACCTCACTACCCCCGCCCCCACACCCCCCAGTTTTCACATAAACGGTGTTCCACTTAAAACAGTGGACCACTTTACCTACCTCGGCTCCACTTTGTCCTCATTCTGCTCCCTGGACAAAGAAATACACACCCGGATAAATAAAGCCTCATCATCTTTTGGACGCCTACGCAGCAGGGTTTTTGAAAACCTGAAGGTCAGTACCAAGGTCGCTGTTTACAATGCGGTATGTGTCTCTACTCTGCTCTACGGGGCAGAGTCATGGACCCCATACCGCCAGCACATCATCAACCTAGAGGCTTTCCATATTCGCTACCTACAGAAGATCCTCAGGTTGTCCTGGGAAGACCGAATCCCCCATACAGTCATCCTCAGCAACACTGACTCAATCTGTATGGAAGCAGCTGTTGCCAAAAAACATCTGCGCTGGATAGGGCACACCATACGCATGCCTGAACACCGATTGCCCCGCCAAGTCCTCTACAGTCAACTAATGGGCGCAAAGCGGTCCGCTGGAGGGCAAAAGCGGCGCTTTAAGGACTACACCAGGGACATCCTAAAGAGAGCGAGCATTCCCCTCACGCAGCTTGAATCACTGGCACTCGACAGACCTGCCTGGCATGTCACCTGTGCAACTGCAATCTCTCAAATACATCAAACCAACCAAGATCGACGATCCGAGAGGCGCATCAAGAGACACCAGTGGGCGGCTGGTACCCCCCTGGTATCTGGTTTCCCCTGCTCCATCTGCGGACGAGTGTGCGGCTCAAGGATCGGACTCAATGCCCACGAGAAGTGACACCAGCGGCAAGGTCGCTAAACCCACCCCCACCCCCTGGAGCAAGCGTCATCATCGTACACGATGGACAGCTAGAGAGTGAGACACACACACACACACACACACACACACACACACACACACACACACACACACACACACACACACACACACTCAACTAACCTCTGACACCACACACACACACAAACACACACACACACACACACACTCACACACATATTCAACTAACCTCTGACCTCTCACACCAGACACACACACACACACACACACACACCAGACACACAGCAAAGCAGCCGAGCAGCTTTACTCTATTTACAGATATGATGAGACACACGGGCGAGTGACACATGTACACAATTTCCCATAAAAACCATCCCGACCGGTCTAAAACACTTATAATAGGCTTACCGTAGTGAATCAGGGTAAGACAAAAACACTTTTTGGTAGAGGGATTGATGATGTATTGACTGATTGTTTCAATTTGAACAAAAAAGTTACATAGTGTACCTTTAAACAGTTGCATAGTAGAGACAATGACCTCGCTATTTGAAGGGCACCTATCCGGTTGTTAAGTCGTGACGTAACCACTCTCCGATAATACTGTTTCCGGGTCCAAAGGCCGGGTCCTCTCTACCTACCTACCGCTTTAGCCCGAGTTTTAACGTGTTCCCGTGTTGTTTAAATAGATCGGAGTTAAAAAACAAGTGACATTCAACTGTCATTCTACCGCTTTCCCTGTGACGAGAAAGATAAGAGAAAATGGCTGCAGTTGATAAGGTAAGTTACAAATCTTAAACGAATGAAGAAACTTTGGCGCCAGTGGGTGCTATCCCTTAATCCCTAGTAACACCCACTGGCACTGAAGCGAAAAAAGCCCTTAAGAAAAGGGTTTATTTAGTCTAGGATCTGGAGTGGACGAGCGGAGCGCTTGGGCCCGGAAGAGGCTAAACGTCACGCGTGACGTCAGACTTAACAACCGAATAATGCTCCTTTTCACAAGATGTAAAATAAGTCTCTGATTTCCCCAGAGTGTGTCGGCATAAAATAGCCACATTCATTCTTACATTCAACCCCAAACGCTTAGGAGACACTCTTGTCTACAGCTGCTCCGGCGTCGAAACAATGTTGGAGTGTGTACATCTCAATCGGGGCGGGTCTATGCTAAAACTGCAGTGTCAGTCAACAGTCGTGGGCGGGGCTTGTGCAAAACTACGTCACACTTCCCCGAATTTGCATATGTGCTTTTTCTGAGACAGTGCTTATGATTTATGGGGATTTAAAAAAAAGCATTTTTGATTTGTATCATTATAGGGTGGTTGTGTACACACACTGCTGACACACATTCATGTTCAAACACGTGAATTTTGCATAATAGGTGCCCTTTAAAAAGCCTGATTTCATGATTTAAGTTTAGTTATGTTCAGTTTTAAAGTCTTTTTATCCCCACAGCTATAAGAAATAAGCACTACGACATGACGAAGCTTCTGCTCAACTTCAGCGCGAGAGTTGACCAGGAGGGGGCGCACCGCAGGACGGCCCTGCACGAAGCTGCTCGACTGGGCCTGGACGAGTTCGTGGATCTGCTGCTGAAGAGCGGAGCTCATCCGGACCCCAGGAGCTCCTACGGCCTGACCCCGTTAGCATTAGCTGCGCAGGCGGGACACCTGGAGATCACTCGGACGCTTCTCCGCAGAGGTCAGGGGGGAACTGGGATCAGTAGAGCTCACTCAAATTAAAACCATAATAAAAATAAAAGTTAAAGGCACAATATGTAAGATTTGTTCGCCACAAGAGGGCGCAGTTTCCAACAATAACAAAGGCGTAGGTTGATGAAGCAGTGATGAGCTGAATGATGGGACTTGCTGTCAAGCTGATGGATCTAATATGTTTATGGATGAGTGCAAACATTCATGTTTTTTAACATTACAGTGGTATGAAGCAGGTCGCACGATTGCTAAAGAGACAGATATCACACGCGAGTCCCGCGGATATAAAGGAATAAGGACATTTAATTCTACCGAACTACCCGCAAGTGCTGGATTACTCACACAGGTCAGTTTATTAGACGAATTAAACTTGTGAGGTAACGCAGCGGTGCTTCACTTGGTCTAACGTTACACTATCACACTAAACGGCATTTAAATGTGTGTTGAAAGTTATAACGTTATACTACGTGTTAGTTCGTTTGCTATACGAAACTAGCAGTAAGCTAGATCAACATTAGAATAACATACTGACCATATTCTAACATTTCATCATGTTGAGCTAACGTTATATAACATTGATTTGTTTTATGTACATTTGCTCACCTGTCTAATAAAGCTGTCAAGTCGTGACTCGTGAAGCTCTGTCGAGTCCAAGTTAGCCGCGGACGCTAGCTCTCGGCATCTCAAAAACGCCACGCTGATATTGATCCTCATTTTAGTTCTCCTTGTTTGTCCCAAAGTCTGCTTGCCATGGTCTATGTTTGAAAGAAACAAGAACCGCGTGCCGCTAAACGTTACGCACTACGCAGTTGTCCACGTCTGTCGCCATGGTTACGTCATGGCTATGTCAGTACGAGCGGAAACCGAGGATAGCGCAGATATTGCGTCATTGACAGGCGACATTTTTTTCCGGGACGGCCACTCATTTAAAATTGGAATTTCTCTGAAATAAAAAATCTTTGGAGACTTTTGGGATATTGTAAGTACACAACTGCAGGAAATATATCACACTGTGCAAGTGATTTTTGGATATTTTATTACAAAATTCTTACATATTGTACCTTTAACTAAAATTACTAAAACGGAAAATATTAAAAACTGTATAGGCATATAAAAATTATAAGAATAACAAAAACATAACAAAATTTCTAAAACTTTTACTAAAATTTAAATGAAGCTGGAATATCTAAAAAATAAAACTAATTCAAAATATTAATAAAAACTATAACAGTGTCTTAATCATACTAAAATAACTAGGACTCTGTATCTGCGGTTTAAAAAGCAATGTGTGGCATTTACTTGAAATAAAATAAACGTTAACTGATAAAATCTTTATTTCACCTAGTTGCAACATTCCTCATTTTTATTTAGTTTAACTTACTTACTAAATATTTAACTAAGATTAAAATGAAGACATTTATTTTATTTCACACATGATGTGAATGTAATTAATAATAAATAAACTTAAATGTGTATTTTGGATGTTTTCTTTCCAATAGTCTAAAAAAAAAAAGACATGTAATTGAAGCAAAATCTCAAAATTGAGCAGTGCATGAAACATTTTTTTTGGTTGTAGTGTCTTTTCTTAAAATATATTAAAATGTGTTTTATTTACATAATATGCTAAATAAAATAATTTTTTGTTAAAATGTTGTATTGTTGCACTTTCAAACTCAATGAAATCTGTATTTTAAAGCAAAAGTGTAACTTTTAACCATGCACAATTTATTCCCCCCTACAGAATCCGAACATGTAAACGTGTGAGTAATAAAAGCTTCTGTTGGTGTTCAGGTGCGGATGTGGAGTCTCAGGCTCAGGATAGCGCAACGGTCCTGTATGAGGCGTCTGCTTCTGGAAACCCAGATGTCGTATCATTACTGCTGGAGTACGGGGCCGATGCAAACATCCCCAAACACACGGGACACCTTCCCATCCACAGAGCGGCCCACCGTGGACATGTGAAGTTAGTGTCAATCATAGACACAGATGGTTTCAGTGAATGTAACGAAGCATGGCGAAGCCTTCGTATTGATATCTTGGTAAACTAAACCCTTGGCATTTGCATGGTGGAGTTCAGTTTGCCCTGATAATACATGATCCTTCAGAAATTATGCTGACATTTCTGATTATTATCAATGCTGGAGACCGTGATACATTTTATTTTTCAGGATTTTTTGTTTAGAAAGTTTAGAAGAACAGCATTTATTTGAAATTTAAATCTGTTGTAACACTATAAATGTCTTTGTCACTTTTGATCAATTTAACGCATCCTTTCTGAATTAAAACGGTCACTTACTTTAAAAAAAAAAATCTTACAGACCTCAAACTTTTGAATGTATATATTATCCCCTAAAAATGCTGGGTTGTTTAACCCAATTTTGGGTCAAATATGGACAAATCCAAATGTTGGCTTAAAAATGTAATGTAAAAATTTAACCCAACAGCTGGGTTTGTCCATATTTGACCCAAAGTTGGGTTAAAACAACCCAGCATTTTTTAGAGTGAGTAATTGCCTTTTTGTTTTTTGACTGAGAGCTCAATGCGCTGCAACTGAAGAAAACACATGCAAATATACAAAACGCCTGAAAATTAATAAAACATCCGTTTGACAACACATGTGCTGCAAACACTCGCAACACAACCAAATACAGAAACACACTGCAAACACTCGCAACACAACCAAATACAGAAACACACTGCAAACACACAACACAACCAAATACAGAAACACACTGCAAACACTCACAACACAACCAAATACAGAAACACACTGCAAACACTCACAACACAACCAAATACAGAAACACACTGCAAACACTCACAACACAACCACATACAGAAACACACTGCAAACACTCACAACACAACCAAATACAGAAACACACTGCAAACACTCACAACACAACCAAATACAAAAACACACTGCAAACACTCACAACACAACCAAATAGAGAAACACACTGCAAACACTCACAACACAACCAAATACAGAAACACACTGCAAACACACAACACAACCAAATACAGAAACACACTGCAAATACTCACAACCAAATACAGAAACACACTGCAAACACTCACAACACAACCAAATACAGAAACACTCTGCAAACACTCACAACACAACCAAATACAGAAACACACTGCAAACACTCACAACACAACCAAATACAGAAACACACTGCAAACACTCACAACACAACCAAATACAGAAACACACTGCAAATACTCACAACCAAATACAGAAACACACTGCAAATACTCACAACACAACCAAATACAGAAACACACTGCAAACACTCACAACACAACCAAATACAGAAACACACTGCAAACACTCTCAACGCAACCAAATACAGAAACACACTGCAAACACTCACAACACAACCAAATACAGAAACACACTGCAAACACTCACAACACAACCAAATACAGAAACACACTGCAAACTCACAACACATCCAAATACAGAAACACACTGCAAACACTCTCAATGCAACCAAATACAGAAACACACTGCAAACACTCACAACACAACCAAATACAGAAACACACTGCAAACACACAACACAACCAAATACAGAAACACACTGCAAACTCACAACACAACCAAATACAGAAACACACTGCAAACACTCTCAACGCAACCAAATACAGAAACACACTGCAAACACTCTCAACGCAACCAAATACAGAAACACACTGCAAACACTCACAACGCAACCAAATACAGAAACACACTGCAAACACTCACAACACAACCAAATACAGAAACACACTGCAAATACTCACAACACAACCAAATACAGAAACACACTGCAAACACTCACAACACAACCAAATACAGAAACACACTGCAAACACTCACAACACAACCAAATACAGAAACACACTGCAAACACTCACAACACAACCAAATACAGAAACACACTGCAAATACTCACAACCAAATACAGAAACACACTGCAAACACTCACAACACAACCAAATACAGAAACACACTGCAAACACTCACAACACAACCAAATACAGAAACACACTGCAAACACTCACAACACAACCAAATACAGAAACACACTGCAAACACTCACAACACAACCAAATACAGAAACACACTGCAAACACTCACAACACAACCAAATACAGAAACACACTGCAAACACTCACAACACAACCAAATACAGAAACACACTGCAAACACTCACAACACAACCAAATACAGAAACACACTGCAAACACTCACAACACAACCAAATACAGAAACACACTGCAAACACTCACAACACAACCAAATACAGAAACACACTGCAAACACACACAACACAACCAAATACAGAAACACACTGCAAACTCACAACACAACCAAATACAGAAACACACTGCAAACACTCACAACGCAACCAAATACAGAAACACACTGCAAACACTCACAACGCAACCAAATACAGAAACACACTGCAAACACTCACAACACAACCAAATACAGAAACACACTGCTAAAACTCACAACACAACCAAATACAGAAACACACTGCAAACACTCACAACCAAATACAGAAACACACTGCAAACACTCACAACCAAATACAGAAACACACTGCAAACACACAACACAACCAAATACAGAAACACACTGCAAACACTCTCAACGCAACCAAATACAGAAACACACTGCAAACACTCAACGCAACCAAATACAGAAACACACTGCAAACACTCACAACACAACCAAATACAGAAACACACTGCAAACACTCACAACACAACCAAATACAGAAACACACTGCAAACACACACAACACAACCAAATACAGAAACACACTGCAAACTCACAACACAACCAAATACAGAAACACACTGCAAACACTCACAACGCAACCAAATACAGAAACACACTGCAAACACTCACAACGCAACCAAATACAGAAACACACTGCAAACACTCACAACACAACCAAATACAGAAACACACTGCTAAAACTCACAACACAACCAAATACAGAAACACACTGCAAACACTCACAACCAAATACAGAAACACACTGCAAACACTCACAACCAAATACAGAAACACACTGCAAACACACAACACAACCAAATACAGAAACACACTGCAAACACTCTCAACGCAACCAAATACAGAAACACACTGCAAACACTCAACGCAACCAAATACAGAAACACACTGCAAACTCACAACGCAACCAAATACAGAAACACACTGCAAACACTCACAACGCAACCAAATACAGAAACACACTGCAAACACTCAACGCAACCAAATACAGAAACACACTGCAAACACTCACAACGCAACCAAATACAGAAACACACTGCAAACACTCAACGCAACCAAATACAGAAACACACTGCAAACACACAACACAACCAAATACAGAAACACACTGCAAACACTCACAACGCAACCAAATACAGAAACACACAGCAAACACTCTCAACGCAACCAAATACAGAAACACACTGCAAACACTCACAACACAACCAAATACAGAAACACACTGCAAATACTCACAACACAACCAAATACAGAAACACACTGCAAACACTCACAACACAACCAAATACAGAAACACACTGCAAACACTCACAACACAACCAAATACAGAAACACACTGCAAACACTCACAACACAACCAAATACAGAAACACACTGCAAACACTCACAACACAACCAAATACAGAAACACACTGCAAACACTCTCAACGCAACCAAATACAGAAACACACTGCAAACACTCACAACACAACCAAATACAGAAACACACTGCAAACACTCACAACACAACCAAATACAGAAACACACTGCAAACACTCACAACACAACCAAATACAGAAACACACTGCAAACACTCACAACACAACCAAATACAGAAACACACTGCAAACACTCACAACACAACCAAATACAGAAACACACTGCTAATACTCACAACACAACCAAATACAGAAACACACTGCAAACACTCACAACACAACCAAATACAGAAACACACTGCAAACACTCACAACACAACCAAATACAGAAACACACTGCAAACACTCACAACACAACCAAATACAGAAACACACTGCAAACACTCACAACACAACCAAATACAGAAACACACTGCAAACACTCTCAACGCAACCAAATACAGAAACACACTGCAAACACTCACAACACAACCAAATACAGAAACACACTGCAAACACTCACAACACAACCAAATACAGAAACACACTGCAAACACTCACAACCAAATACAGAAACACACTGCAAACACTCACAACACAACCAAATACAGAAACACACTGCAAACACTCACAACACAACCAAATACAGAAACACACTGCAAACACTCACAACACAACCAAATACAGAAACACACTGCTAATACTCACAACACAACCAAATACAGAAACACACTGCAAACACTCACAACACAACCAAATACAGAAACACACTGCAAACACTCACAACTCAACCAAATACAGAAACACACTGCAAACACACAACACAACCAAATACAGAAACACACTGCAAACACACAACACAACCAAATACAGAAACACACTGCAAACTCACAACACAACCAAATACAGAAACACACTGCAAACACTCACAACACAACCAAATACAGAAACACACTGCAAACACTCACAACACAACCAAATACAGAAACACACTGCAAACACTCACAACACAACCAAATACAGAAACACACTGCAAACACACAACACAACCAAATACAGAAACACACTGCAAGCATTCACAACACAACCAAATACAGAAACACACTGCAAACACTCTCAACGCAACCAAATACAGAAACACACTGCAAACACTCTCAACGCAACCAAATACAGAAACACACTGCAAACACTCTCAACGCAACCAAATACAGAAACACACTGCAAACACTCACAACACAACCAAATACAGAAACACACTGCAAATACTCACAACACAACCAAATACAGAAACACACTGCAAATACTCACAACACAACCAAAAGAATATATAGGGGCGTGAATAACACGCCCCTATATATTCAAGTATCCGCTTCCCCCACGCCCTCTTTTTACGCCATGGACACACGGAAGACGGCAAAGAAGAGACACTTCTCCGACGTGGAGATCGAGACCATCACCATCATGAAAAATTATTATTAAATCAAACAACAATATTGTTGATGTTAAATTCAAAGTTAATTGTATTTTTTTTCAAAACGCTATAAATCCATCCATTTTTTTGTCTAAAAAAACAAAAACAAAAAAAAACAACAACAAGAGAACATGAAACATATAATGAGGGACTCATACTATAAATGAATATAAATTAAATAAGTGCAACTGCATGAAATAAATAAAAGCCAAACAAAATAAATAGTAAAATAAATTAAATAGTAAAAATAAATATTTCCAATGTCACGTTCCAATATTGTCCACCACATAAAACAAATAATTTAAAAATAACACACAAATACAGTCCTTAAATACAACATTGTAAAAAAATACATTCAAATCATTTAGTAACACATTTAGGCTAATAGTCATTCGTCCCGAACTTGAAAAAAGTAATGATAACAATATTCAGGCCTACTATTAGGCTACGTGTTGTAGCCATTAAAAAAGTGCATTTAGTTTCATATTTGTTAAAAAATTATAATGTTATTTTTTCCCCATCTATGTTGATTATGAAAAGTGAACATAGGCTAAGATAGGATGCGCAATATATCGGGAGACATGCTCAGACATGATTTTGGCCACTTAATTAAGTTTTGTTTTGTAGAAAGCCTTTCTTTAAAGTGAATTTCGTTTTGTATAATTTGTATCTTAATTTTAAAAAAAAAATTTCATCAACCAATTGCCTGGATTTAATAAATAAGACACAAATAGCAGACAATATAATCAGGAGTCATGACATGGCCCTTGCATTGCACGTGAACTGGAGCGCATCTCATCACAAATTAACCGAAACTTAGTATATGCTTCACAGACATGAGAAATATATCTATAAAGAAAGCTTGAAATGTCTTTAAACGAAACAATTATAAACTAAAAGAAATAGATTACTCTCTCTATAGGCGCGTCCACTACGGAGATAGTGATCATCAATTTCATCTTTGCAGACACAGTTTATTAATAGAAATAAAATACAAATTTATTTTTAAAAATGGCGTTTATCGCGTTTTGGAAAAGAGCTCCTCATATCTTTTAGTTTGTCAGTGCGTTTTGTGGTGTTAGGAATTGTTTTTCTGCGCATTTCCGCAGTAACTCAAAACGTGCGTACATGTACACCACCTCCTGACCTGGCGTAGGATTTGATCGTGCCGTACGCCAACGTCCATATTGATAAATATCAAAGTCACCGTGCTTTTGGGTGTACGCTGGAAATTTGCTGTACGCACTTTTGATAAATGAGGGCCAATGTGAGTATTTGCAGCACATGTGTTGTCAAACTGATGATGTTTTTTTAACTCACTGGTGTTTTTTCTACTTGCGCGTGATCTTCAGTTGCGCTCGTGTTGAGCTCTCTCACTGTAACTGACTCTATTGGAGGAGAATTGAACTGAGCTGGGCGATGACATCACTGTTTTCTCCAGAGCTGCTTTATAGCTGAACTGAACTCATTCCATAATTGATGTACTTTACACAGTTATTGAACCAAACTGAACTGATTTCAACTGAATAATGACTGTTTACTATCGTCTTTTTAGAGCTGCTTTACAGCAGAATGGAACTAACTTGAACTTGAATTTTTATTTATTTACAGGTGAAACTGGAAAAATTTGAATATCGTGCAAAAGTTTATTTATTTCAGTAATTCAACTTAAAAGGTGAAACTAATATATTATATAGACTCATTACATGCAAAGTGAAATATTTAAAGCCTTTATTTGTTATAATTTTGATGATTATGGCTGACAGCTTATGAAAACCCCAAAGTCAAAATTAGAATATTGTGAGAAGGTTTTCATAAGCTGTAAGCCATAATCATCAAAATTATAACAAATAAAGGCTTGAAGTATCTCACTTTGCATGTAATGAGTCTATATAATATATTAGTTTCACCTTTTAAGTTGAATTACTGAAATAAATGAACTTTTGCACGATATTCTAATTTTTCGAGTTTCACCTGTACACCGTCACTGTAAAGCTGCTTTGTAAAATCTGTATTGTAAAAGCGCTATATAAATGAATGAGACTTGCCGTGTGCGCAGGGCTCTGGCTCTCCTGATCCCCATCACGACGCTGGATGCAGTGTATGACAGTGGGATGAGTCCTCTTCATTCAGCAGCGTCTGCTGGACACACACACTGTCTGGAGATGCTGATCAACGCTGGCTACGACCCCAACTTCATGCTTCATCCATGGGTTCGGCGTAACTATGATGATAACCGCCAGTCTGCGCTTTACTTCGCCGTAGCCAATGACGACGTCGCATCCGCCAGAGTTTTACTGGAGGCCGGAGCGATGCCCAACCAGGATCCCGTGAAGTGCCTCCAGGTGGCGCTGCGTCTGGGAAACTATGAGCTCATCAACACTTTACTTCGATACGGAGCCAATGTGAATTACTTCTGCAGGGTGAACACCACGCACTTTCCCTCGGCCTTACAGTACGCTCTAAAGGACGAGCTGGTGCTGCGGATGCTGTGTAACTATGGTTACGATGTGGAGAGATGCTTCGACTGTCCGTATGGCGAGGGATCTCATGTGCCGAGTGGTTATGAGGGCTGGAGTGATGCTGTCATTAAAGACACCCTGGTGATTGATTTCATAGAGTTTGCGGTTTGATTAAATGTTTTGTATGTGTTTTGAATGCTCTTCTCCTCTCCCTGCAGTTCTGTGAGTTCATATCGGTCTATTGGCTGAAGGATCTCGCGGGAAACATGGTCCGCATCATGCTGGATTACGTAGATCATGTGACCGTTTGCTCCAAACTGAAGGCTTTGCTTATGGAGCAGAAACAGTGGGCTGAAATATGCAAAATTCAAGGTTTGTACATGATAATAATGATAATAATATTCTGTCTCTCTCTCTCTATATATATATATATACATATATATACAGGTGAAACTCGAAAAATTTGAATATCGTGCAAAAGTTTATTTATTTCAGTAATTCAACTTAAAAGGTGAAACTAATATATTATATAGACTCATTACATGCAAAGTGAGATATTACAAGCCTTTATTTGTTATAATTTTGATGATTATGGCTTACAGCTTATGAAAACCCCAAATTCAAAATTAGATTATGAAAAGGTTTTCATAGCTGTAATCCATAATCATCAAATTGATAACAAATAAAGGCTTGAAATATCTCACTTTGCATGTAATGAGTCTATATAATATATTAGTTTCACCTTTTAAGTTAAATTACTGAAAGAAATGAACTTTTCCACGATATTCTAATTTTTTGAGTTTCACCTGTATGTATGTATGTGTGTGTGTATGTATACTGTATATACACACATTTTTTTATGTAAATCATCAGTAAAAACATACAATACAAATGATATATCACACACACTTATTTATATACATTATTTATATCAAATTTGTATTATATGTTTTTTACTGCTGATTTACATTAAAATGTAATGTAGTGAAAAAATGGCTTAAATGAAAATTTACTGGAAAAATCAAGGTTTGTACAATAACAATTTATATACTAATAATAATAATAATAGATATTCATTATATTATACTTTGTATAATAATATTATTATATATTATTGATATTAATAATAATAGCAATTACTGTAAATTGTTCACACATTATTATTATTATTGTATTCGTGTATATTGTATATGTGTATTGAATGTTTTTACTGCTTATTTTAAATATAATATATTTTAAAATGATAAATTACAGCTAAATTCAAGGTTTGTGCAATAACAATTTATATAAAAAAATAGATATTCGCTATATTATACTTTATATAATAATACTATTGTAAATTGTTACAGTGAATACTTGTTTGTGTATTTTATATTTTCATTGTTTCATTTCATTTTCATGCTGATTTAAATAAAAAAAAATACTGTAATGAAGTTAAAAAATTACTTTAAAATGAGACAAAAAAAAACTGCTTAATTGTCGTAAAAATGTCTATGCACATTTTTTTTCTCCAAATACAGAATATATGAAGCCTTTTCTTTTGACTTGTGCATGAAACTGATTTTCCTCTGCTAATGTCATGTCTTCATTGGTTCTGAGTGTAGTGTTGTGTTGGCAGAGAACGTGCGCGGTCTGCAGCATCTGTCTCGGCTGAAGATCAGAGCTTGTTTGGGTCGACTGCGCTTGAGAGCTCCAGTTTTCATGAGTTTCCTTCCATTGCCAGACCGACTGAAGCAATACATCCTATACAGAGAATATGATCTCTACAGTCAGAAATGCCCAACGCAGAGCAAATGACCCAGAACACACAGCTGTAGAACACAGAATTACTCAATTATGATGTATAATGGACACTGTTAACGTGTTTTTACAGAATATACATTCTTGGAAAATAAACAAAGTCTTAATGTTAATAAATATGTATAGACCCGAATAAATAAACCATAGCCACCTATGCATCTTTTATGAAGGAAAGTGGTCTTTAAAAGATAATGTGCTTTTTTTTAAGAAGCACACCTGTGTAAAATTATTTATTTAATCTAGTGAGATTTTACATTTAGATGGCTAAAGTGTGTATGCAATATATATTTTAACATATGAAAATAAATTCTCATTAAATTGTTCTTTTTAAATGTATTTAACTATTTAATTTTTTCCCTTTATTGAAATAAAAAATTGGACAAACATCATATATATATATATATATATATATATATATATATATATATATATATATATACAGTATATGTGTATATAGGCCTACGTGTGTGTGTGTGTGTGTAAACATACACAATAAATATTCAATAATACAACAAAACGAAAAGTAAAAAATTATAGTGTTGTAAAATCTTGGTAAAGAGCAAAAAACACATTAATGAATGAAATATTTGTCTTATATATTAATATCACTAACCATCAAAGAGTCACTAATGACTTTTATTTCTTATAAACAAGCGCAGACGTCATCATATTATTAATAGCGCCTCGGCCAATCAGCGGGCAGGAGGAGGCGGGACTTCCGCGTTTGTGGGCGGATCCGGGTGGGTGTTGATTTGTCAGGAATAAAGCGAAGATCAACATTATAACATTGTGACTTTTGATTCTGAATAAAACATAAAGATCGTTGCGCTCGCGTTTAATCTGCAGTCATGCCTGGAATCGATACATTACCCATAGAGGAAACTCTGGAAGACAGTCCGCAGGTAAATAATCATCATTTAGCTAACAAGCTAACAGAAATAAATAAACAAATAAGCATTAATAATAATAAACATCTGCGGCTCGTGCTTCTCATCATGTAAAGCAGAGCAGATCCTGAGTCTGTTCATCCAGATGGTTTGATCTGACTGATTCATGTCTGATTTTGAGCTGTTTAGCTTTTTGATGGGTGTTGGTGGATTGGATTTGGCTTGATGGGTTATTATAAAGCACAGATGAATCAAAAATCATATCTTAAATATACAAGAAAACTGCAATGTGAGTCTAAACATTGCTTTACTTGCATGATCAGTGCTGTAAATCGATATCAGAGGGAAACTCATCAACAATAAGAGTGAATGGTCATGTTTACATTTATATTGTAATATTTTGCATCACTTTGCAGTGAAAACAGTGGCTCATAAGTCTGTAATGTCACAACAGAACTTCAAAAACAAAGTCTGAGGTCTCTTCAATAAACAATACATGTTATGATATTAACACCACATTGAAGTCATGTCTAAACATTGTTGTTCCTCATATTGCTGTTGTTTTTGTAGACACGCTCTCTGCTCGGGGTGTTTGAAGAAGATACAGCATCAATATCCAGTTATTTCAGTCAGCTCTTCAAAGCCATGCAGAGGATCTATGACGCCCAGGCGAGAACTCACTCCTTACACATGCAAATGAAATATTATATGAGATATGCTCAAGAATATATTCACAGTATAATAGTGTTTGATAACTTTAAATCACACACACGTTTAGAACATGTCATATTTCACCCCAAAAACAAAAGAAATAAAGTAGAAGTCGTATTTTGGATAAAGAAAATATTTTTTTAAGGACCTTTATTAATTAATAATGATCCCTAATATTATACTATATTTAATAATGATAGTATTGTGGAAATTGCAGTAAATTGCAAGAGACAACTTCTCACTTTGAGCACACGAATGCGTGTGTCATTTATTTATAGAAAGAAAAGTAATAATAACAAATGGCGCTGACATGCGTCCCACGTGAGCACACGTTCAGAGTATTTAAAGGGACCGCGATCCCTGAACAGTCGTGAAGAACAGAGTGCCGTGTTTACAACCAACAGTGTATAGAACTACACTTAACAAAGGTGAATTATGTATCTTACATGCACCACAGTATTATATTTTATTTCTACTAATTTTAAATTATTATTATTAACAACAGCAGTAATATTATTATTAATAGTATAATAATTATAGTATTTTATGTAATTTCTACTATTTTAAAAGTATTATTACAGCGGTAATAGTATTAATATTATTAATAATAATATAATGCATATTAATATTTTATACTAGATAATATAATAATTAATTATATTATTAGTAATAATAGTAATTATTAATAATAATTAGTGATAATAGTAATTACTATAATAATAATACCATTATGATATTATTATTAATAATAATAGTGATTACTGTAAGTTGTTTACACATGATTGTATTAGATTTTTTTACTGCTAACTTGAAAAAAAGCAAATGAACAAAACAAATTAATGCAATGAAAAAAATCTTTGAAATAAGAACCACAATTGAGACAGAATGACAAATATAATACTTTTGAAATGTGAAAATGGTCCATATTTTTTAATAAGATTCGCATGGTTCTCTTTCAGAATGAACTGAGTGCTGCCACACATTTGACGTCTAAATTACTGAAAGACTTTGAGAAACAGGTGATTTCTGATCATTTTATGCATTATATCTCGTCTTTCTTCTTTTTTTTGTCTATATATGGACTTTTGTTGGAGTTGATGCTGTTGATGCTTAAAGGGATAGTTCACCCCAAAATGTAAACTCTGTCAGTAATTACTCTCCCTCATGTTGTTCAACCCCGTAAGACTTTCGTTCATCTTCGGAACACAAATTAAGATATTTTTGATTAAATCTGAGAGCTGGATCACTCCTCCATAGGCTTCTTAAGGGATTGAAACTGGCCGGCCCAGAAAAGTTATTAAAGACATCGTTAAAATAGTCCGAGTGACTACAGTGGCTCAACCTTAAGTTTATCAAGCGACGAGAATACTTTCTGTGCACAAAAAACAAACAAAAAATATAGCTGCGAGCAGCGATTACGGGCCCAAGCCGGTGGCACCGCAACACCGGTGCCTTTAGTTACCTAAAGGCACCGGAGTGGCGGTGCCGCCGGCTTTGGCCCTTCATCGCTGCTCGCAGCTATATTTATATATATATATATATATATATATATATATATATATATATATATATATATATATATATATATATATAAACAAGCCGGTGGCACCGCCACCCCGGTGCCTTTATATATATATATATATATATAAACAAGCCGGTGGCACCGCCACCCCGGTGCCTTTAGGGTTACTGTGCATGACGGGCAATATCGTAACTCCGCTTTGACCTTTGAGATGTGTGCTGTAAAGCTTGCATTGGTGTGGGCTCTGCAAAAGTGTGCATTGAGGGCACATATCAACCACAAAGTATGCGTGAGCAACCTTCTGAAACCTAAAATGAAAAATGAGACACCCTACGGTCTCATGGACTTAATGGACACATGAAATAAGTTATGAAAGTTAAATCAATTGTGCCAAGACAGAATATTACTTGCCTGATCTGATTAGAAAAAAAGTTTGTGTGTGTGTGTGTGTGTGTGTGTGTGTGTGTGTGTGTGTGTGTGTGTGTGTGTGTGAAACGTGATTGAACAATGTAGACATAAAAACATACTCCTTTTGTTCATACAGGACATTATTCAAACTGTAAAGTGTTTACTTATATTTGTGAACAATCGCAATAAAACACAACATTGTGCTTTTGTCAAACTGTAAACTACAACTGTCACCCAACCAAAATCTCTTTTTTATTTTATACAGAAATAAATAATCTATCATTCAGATGAGAATAAAGTTAGTGTTAGTTCAAATTTTAAGGAAAACTCTGAAATATAGCACATTCATTTAAAATTCATTCAGGTTCAATTACCAAACATACAAATCTTAATGTAATTTAAAGCAAACAATACATTTAAAATATATGGGTTGTATGCCTATTTTTTTTATATAAAAAGATATATATCCAAAAAGACAAGGCCTAAACAATACATTTAAAATATATGGGTTGTATGCCTATTTTTTTTATATAAAAAGATATATATCCAAAAAGACAAGGCCTAAACTTTAACAAGGGTTAAACAATCACTGTAACAGACACAATCATACACACACACACACACACACACACAGACACAGACACAGACACACACACAAGTCAAATCACTTACATTTTATATGCAATATTGACTTTTTTCTGTTTCAGCACCCGCTCATTAAGACGGTCGCCTGGCGACACCTAGTGACGGTTTAGTGTTATTTGATTATACACTCAAAATATTCCACAACAAATCCTTTAAATTTAATGATATTCAGAACAGAACACGAATAAAAAAATAACTATAATAAAGCCAAAACGAAATAATTTAAAACAAAAGTAAAAGTAAGTGGTGTTAGGCTCACGTAAATCTCTCTTTAGAATCTAAATGTTGCAACATTTGCGATGTATTTGGATGCTAAACTATTCTTTATTACAGGCTTTGTACTTCACTCACGTTCCAATATCGACGGAAAAAATCATCCTCTTCACTTGTGCAAAAATGTGCTTGGAAAAATCACAGTGGAGCGGTGCTTACTGTGAATGATACAAATTGTACTACTGACTATTTCAACATAGCAGTGTAATTTGTATATGTTAGGTTGAATGTTTTATTATTGTGTGTGTGTGTGTGTGTTTGTGTGTGTGTGTGTGTGTGTGTGTGTCAGTGTGTGTGTGGGGGTCTGGGTGGCTCAGCGCGATTGAACAGTGAAACATACTCCGTCATTTTCTTCATACAGGACATCATTCAAACGTCAAAGTGTTTACTTATATTTGTGTACACTCGCAATAAAACACAACATTGTGTTTTTGTTAAATAAATTAAAGTAATACGTCCCCCGAAATGGCGCTAATTTTAAAATGAAACTAAAATGCTCACGGCTGCACGGGCATTCATAACTCTGCGCGCCCACGGTGAGGGACGAGCAGAACAGAGCGAACGTTGTTTAGTTCATTCCTACTTCCATAGGAATTAATTGAAAAAGCTCACTCTACTCTGCACCATTATTAATGAATTGTGCAGACGTCCTTATTTTACTTTAGCTTTTTACCTGATTTTGAACACAAGAGGGCAGTATAACACTATGTATGATTTGGGAAAAAAATTTTTTTGACTAAACAACCATTCTGGCTGTTTTTAAACTTAAACATTATTCTCTAATTGCTCTCACCATGCCCGTTTCTGAAACTCTGCACATGTCTACTGTCTAATAAATGTGATGTGTCTGTCGGGTTTCATGCAATTTCAAGTATGTTAAGAGTCTCAAAAGCATCAACAAAGAATAATAAAGTTTGATGCGTTGCCACGGCAACAGTATCTAAGATATCAATAATCCTTTCTCAGGTCTACATCTGCCGTGTGTCTACATTATACACATAAAGTTTGAAGCAAATTGGGTAAAAATAAGAGGGTGATTTCAAAGCCTTTAGGAAGTGACACACTTCCTGCTGCCAGTTGGTGGCCCTATAACTTTGACTCACAATAGTCACATCCATGTGATCGGACTCTTACAGCGAACACACTGCTGAAGTTTCATCAAGATCAGTTAATGTATGCAGAAGTTATAACACACTTCCTGTTTCCTTTATTCGCCATAAATTCGTTTCCTCGCCACGGCCAAACCGTTCGAGATATCAAAAATCCCCTGGCAACTTTTCATCCTCAATGTCTTGACTTCATGCTGACCGAGTTTCGTGGCGATTGGTTGAATTCTCTAGGAGGAGTATATCGAATTCCAGGGGCATACGCTTCCAAACAAACCATAATAGCCGACTTCCTGTTGGGCTGGGGTAAAAAGTAAAAGTACAAAGGATATATGAATCGATGAGATCTATATGTGTACCGAGTTTCATATTATTACATTCAAGCGTGTTTGATTTATGGACCAAGTTTTCGGACCCCGTTCCAGGGGGCGCTGTCGAGCCCCCTTGCCACGCCCGGGTACCAGCTTCAGCCCGGCCCTGATGGCCACGGGTTCTGACCCGTGTGCAAAGTTTCAAGAGTTTTTGAGCACGTTAAGGGCCCCCAAAGTGCGCTGAGAGTCTCAAAAGTATCCAAAAAGAATATTAAAGTTTGATGCGTTGTCACGGCAACAGCATCTAAGATATCAACAATCCTTTCACAGGTCTAAATCTGGCGTGTGTCTACATTATACACATCAAGTTTGAAGCAAATCGGGTAAAGCCTGTTTGATTTATGGACCAAGTTTTAGGACCCCATTCCAGGGGGCGCTGTCGAGCCCCCCTGCCACGCCCGGGTACCAGCTTCAGCCCGGCCCTGATGGCCGCGGTTTCTGACCCGTGTGCAAAGTTTCAAGAGTTTTTGAGCATGTTAAGGGCCCCAAAAGTGCGCTAAGAATCTCAAAAGTATCCAAAAAGAATATTAAAGTTTGATGCGTTGTCACGGCAACAGCATCTAAGATATCAACAATCCTTTCACAGGTCTACATCTGGCTTGTGTCTACATTATACACATCAAGTTTGAAGCAAATAGGGTAAAGCGTGTTGGATATATGGACCAAATTGTCTGACCCGTTCAAGGGGGCGCTGTCGAGCCCCCCTGCCACGCCCGGGTACCAGCTTCAGCCTGGCCCTGATGGCCGCGGGTTTTGTCCTGTGTGCAAAGTTTCAAGAGTTTTCGAGCACGTTAAGAACCCCAAAAGTGCCCGAAAGCATAAAAAAGCATGAAAAAGCTTAAAAAAAGGAATATTAATGTTTGATGCATTGCCATGGCAACAGTATCTAAGATATCAATAATCCTTTCACAGGTCTACATCTGGCGTGTGTCTACATTATGCACATGAAGTTTGAAGCAAATCGGGTAAAAATAAGAGGGTGATTTAAAAGCATTTTGAAAGTGACACACTTCCTGCTGCCAGTTGGTGGCGCTATAACTTTGACTCACAATAGTCACATCCATGTGATCGGGCTCTTACAACGAACACACTGCTAAAGTTTCATCGAGATTAGTTAATGTATGCAGTAGTTATAACACACTTCCTGTTTCACGTTTCTCGCCATAATTTCGTTTACTCGCCACGGCCAAACCGTTCGAGATATCAAAAATCCCCTGGCAATTTTTCATCCTCAATGTCTTGACTTCATGCTGACCGAGTTTCGTGCCGTGTGTTTGAATTCCCTAGGAGGAGTATTTCACATTCCATTGCATGTGTTTTCCAAACAACCCTTAATAGCCGACTTCCTGTTGGGCTGGGGTAAAAAGTAAGAGCATGAAGTATATATGAACCGATGAGATCTATATGTGTACTGAGTTTCATATTATTACATGCAAGCGTGTTTGATTTATGGACCAAGTGTTCAAACCCCGTTCCAGGGGGCGCTGTCGAGCCCCCCTGCCACGCCCGGGTACCAGCTTCAGCCCGGCCCTGATGGCCGCGGGTTCTGAGATGTGTGCAAAGTTTCAAGAGTTTTCGAGCACGTTAAGGCCCCCAAAAGTGCCCAAAAGGTAGTAAAATAATAATAATAATAATAAATATAGCTGCGAGCAGCGATTACGGGCCCAAGCCGGTGGCACCGCAACCCCGGTGCC